TTGTAGTGGGCTAAACCACTGAACTGGTGAGCAGAAGGTTGCTGGCTCAAAACCACCAGTATGTCCTTGAGCAATCCAGGTTGTTCCAGGAGATTGTAGGTCCCTGTAATAAGAGCACTGTGGATAAAAGCTTCATGACATTTTTTGATGATGCTTTTGAAGCTTCTGAAAGTCAGCCTTCATTGTATGAACAGAAACCAGCAGAACAAACTTGACCAAACTCACATCCTCAGTGTCTTTTGGTCTTTCTCTAGATGCTCCAGCTGGCTCTGGGTTCACTGAGGATGAAGAGACCACAGCAGCATCCGGTCCTGATGAGGCAGTAAGAGGTGGAGTGATGGAGCGTCTCATCCGCGGCACTGGACCATTTCCAGGATGCTGCTGTGGACTTCTCCATCCTCACTGCTCACACCAGTCTGCAGACATTTCAGATCCTGCAAAGGTGCACAAACACAATACAAAAGCAGTCATTTTAACAGCATAATGTCATCTGATTTCTGTATTGGAAGTAATAAAATGATCTTATTTATATTTTTGTTTCAGGTTTTCCCTTTTTTTCACAAATGCCGCCGTCACCTTGCCTTGCAGGTCCTGCTCCACCACAAAAGATCTCCAGCAAATGCACAGAAATCAAGAATCAGAAAAGTGCTGTAATAGTTGTTTGAAATTACAATAATTAATATAAACTACAACTTAAGATTTAAAATATGTTTATATAGCATTCCTTCATCAGTCACTCTGCAGCGGATAAACACACGCGTGTCTCATCTGTCCCTGTAACATCCAGACAAGAGTCATGTCACCTCTGTGATTTATCTGCTCAATAATGCATTTACATGTTGAGGTAGCTGCTGATGTAACTCGCTTTTTATTCAACACAAATGTTCCTTAAATTATCAATATTACAAATGGACAAATAAAATAGATAACTTATGTTTAGTTACTTTATGTAGATTTGTTTGTTTACATGACTTACATTCATCAAAAACAGTGTTGACAACAGTGAATTCTACATAATAGCACACATACATCACTCAGATGCCCATTTCAAGTCTATTAGATGTGCTCATCTGCAATACTAATCAAAGACTATCCTGTCAGATGTTAAATAGACATTTAGTAATTGTCTAGGGAGGAACGGGATAATGGCGGACGGGTGTGTCTTTTCCTCTCTTTGTGTATGCTTCTAAACGTCCCTCACGTCCCTCT